AAGCCCTGGATTTGATTCGTTGCACCAAAAATATATCCCAGCACTTTAGTCTTATAAGGTTTATTGGAGTAAATCCTACAAAGGACCCTTCTTCAATCTGTGGAAGGAGGGCATTTGGGGGAACTCCTGGTGAGGCCGCTGAGGTGAGACTCTTGAGTCTTAACTCTGGCCTTGAATCTTACCCCAAAGAAATCTTGACCAAGTCAATCTTTCTCTGGCCTGAGCTCTCTTATATGCAAAGCAGGAATGCTAATAGTACTATATCTTGGGTTGATGGGGGAAGAATTACATAAAAACACTCATAGCAGTGGCTGGCATAATCAATATTCATTATTATTAAATAATTCTCTTCAAAAAGTTTTCTATCAGGGGGCCAAGGTTGTAGCCCAAGTGGTAGATCACATGCTTGCACAGACAAGGCCCCAGATGGTTCAACTTGCACATCCCCCTCATCCCACCAACTCTGAGGGTGTAGCCCGGGTGACCCTCAAGCTCCTCACAGACACACATTTCCAACATCACTGATGAAAAATCTCTGAAGTAACTATTTCAGATCAGGGTTTCCAATCAGAACAGGATTCTCTATGTAAGAACCTTTTCCGAGGACTCTCAAGGCATCAGAGAAAGGAATCCTACCATGCAAGTAAGAATCAACAGATGGACTTTGAGAAAAGCATTTCCAGGCTTTGCCACTTTGGCCCATATATGCTTAAGATGTGAATCTTTCTTACTGTAGGGCACAGTTCTCTATTCTGTAGGGCACAGTTCTCTATTCTTGGAAAATGTACCCACATCCCAACTTGGGATGTGTACTTTTTCCCTCCACCCTGGAGAAGGCCATATTCTCTCTCTCTCTCTCTCTCTCTCTCTCTCTCTCTCTCTCTCTTTCTCTCTGCGGTCTACAAATTTATTTATTGCCAGATTCCTTTAAACATGTATCTTTACCTCTCTCTTTCCTTCCCTTTATTTCCCAAATAAAGTTGTTTTATTTACAGAAAAAAGAAAAATTTCCAGAGAGGCTAAGAATAGGATCAAAGCAGCAAGAATTAATATCCTACTAAAGTTTATTTAAATAATAGTTCTATAATTCAAACAGGCATGTCCCCATCAAAAAATATGAAGCAGAGTGTTTAAAAATAATAAAACGAGGGCCAGGGATGTAGATCAGTGGGAGGGAACTTGCCTTGCATGTATGAGGCCCTGAATTCAATCTCCAGCACTGCAATACTAATAGTAATTCATCACTATTAAAAGGGTAAATCCTATTACAATATAGCAATTTATTTCCATCATATGAAAGATGGTCCATCAGAACACACAGGGTTTGGGCAACACCTGGTGGTATTCAGGGCTCTGCACTCAGGGATCACTCCTGGTGGGGCTCTTGGGACCATATGTGGCACCAGAGAATCAAATCCAGGTCCATAGTGTGCAAGGCAAGCACCTCCCCTACCATCTCTCTGGTCCCAGGACAAATTCATTTGAAGAAAGGAACCTCAGTGACCAAAGAGGCAGTGATATGCATGTATGATAGACAACCTCACACTTACAAAAGATCATAAGTTTCCTTCTCACAAGAGACCATTTTTTTCTCCCAAAGAAATTTTATGAATATGCTTGAAATAAATGAGAACTCAACCAAGCCGTAAGCATATGAAATCTCTTTAAACTGGCAGTTAACATTTGTGACAGCAACGGTTCAATGATCGCTATAAATGATGCACTATTTTAAGTAAAACATAATTCTAATATTTGATCAAAATTACATCGTCAATATAAGTTGAATGCAAACCACACTTTAATAACCAAGGCAGTTCAGTTCAGCCATTTTCCTAGAATATGCTCTAAAGTTCCCATATAACCCGTATATGACAATATTGCTGTCTTTAGTCTTTTTCTCTTCTTTTATTACTGAAGGGTCTAAGATATAGTATGTTCACAAGGCAATAAGACTGTTGGCGGATGTCAGCCTGTTTTTCAATTTCTATTTCTTCATATGATGGGTCTCATTCCCCTGACCCTGAAAGAGCTTCCAATGTGGCACTTGCTAAAATCTCAGGGCTAGGATGAATGGAGACGTTACTGGTGCCTACTCGAGGAAATGGATGAACAACGGGATGACAGTGATACAGTGATTTCTTCATGAACAGCCTACTGAGCCGGGATATGGCTCACAGGTGGAAATGTGTGTTCTGGATGCAGGGGCCTGAGTTCAAGACCCAGTACCGCATGCCTCTCCCCCACCAGTGCCTGGCTGAGTCCTGCACAGGATCCAGCAGGTCACACAGCTGGGCCTAGTATTGCTGAGTGGCTCCCAGGTACCCTAAGCTCTGCTTGGGAGCAACCCCCACTTCCACCCCTGGGTCAAACCAAACCAAAACACTTACTTTGGCTCTACAACACTAAAACACATGACTACAAATAATCTAAGATGGCATTTGGAAGACCCTTATCACCACATAGTTCAAATTATTCCAGAAATCTCTAGGTCATTATTACCCTTTAAAACTGAATGTCTTCCCTAACCACACCTCAGGGCCTTAGATCTGAGACCCAAATGTGGTATACACTTTGCAATCATCTTAGTTCTCTATTAAAGAGAAAATGCGAAGGGACTTGAGACTTTCTGATTCCCAGAGCAAAATAAGAATACTTGCGTGTATTCAATAACTTATGTATAAATATTCATTATTCAATAATGAATACTTACACATAAGCCCAACCCCTCTCTTTTTTTTTGGGGGGGGGGCTCATACCCAGTGATGCACAGGAACCCCTGTGCATTTCTGGCTCATGCACTCAGGAATTACTCCTGGCGGTGCTCAGGGAACCATATGGGATGCTAGGAATCGAACTTGGGTTGGTCGCATGCAAGACAAACGCCCTACCCACTATGCTATTGCTCCAGCCCCTTCCCCCACCCTTTCTTCTCCTACCTCTCTCTTTTACTAAGAGGTCAGGGCCATGATTTTAGGTCTGAGGGGCCCCAATCTACACATCAGTAATAATGCTGTATGTACCCACAGCATGAACTTGGGTCCTACATCATATGATTGATTAGTTCTGCCTTTCCCCCAAAGAATCATCTGCTCCTGAAGTAATAGGCATTTCATTTAAGGCACGTAGAAAATAATAAAACCCCATCATATACTCAGCTTAAAAATGGAAGTACTGCTTGTTTACATTTATATAGATACTGAGTAATATGATATACCAAGATAGGCAAGTCTCTACTTTGAGGATAAAACTGCATTAGAAAAGCAATTCTTTCTGTTTATTCTATGTTGTGTAAAAAAAAAAAAGAATTAGATTTGTAAGAATAACCCACGTGTACCAGGCTTATTGCAAAGGCCCAATGTCTAAAAGTGAAGACAAAGATTGAAAACCCTGTTCCTTCCTCCTAGAGAATGAGTAATAATCATGAGGAAGGTAGATAGGGTAAGTTTTAGATTCCCTCCCCAACCCCAAATATAGTCCTGGGAAACTCAGTCAACTACTGTTTTAAACTGTCCTTCCCATCTTACAGGGGCAGGACTTAGGAGAAGAGGGGAGAGGCTGGAAGGGAGCCCCAGTTAAAAGGGGGGCAGTTTCAGGGACAAGTTGCTTTAGGAACTTGATACATTTGCTTTAATGTCCCATCCAGGCTTTACACAATTTTTTCCCCTAGTACCTGCAGGTATGCCCTCAGGATGAACATATAACCATCTATGTGGAATGGCTTGGTGGGGATTAATTTATCTGTGTTTTAACTTCCTGATCACCTAAACTCGAGGAGGATTTTCAGATATCATCACTCGCTCACACCAACTCCAAGCTTTGTCCGACCATTAGGAAAAAGCTCAGGTGACTGCTGAGCTGGGCAGGGCCTGCTTTGGGTAAACTGCTCTGGCCCAGTTCCTAAGGGAGGACCAGAGAGAGGTTCCAGGACACACTGTCACAGCCAAAGAAATTATGCTCTGTGATGGAGCCCTGAGACATTTCCTGTGGAGCAAAAACAGCTGGTCCAAAAAGCACACTTTAAATGTTATACAACAAACAGCCCTATTTCACAGGAGCCAAACATATAAGATCAGATATTACATGTATGCATATAGATGTGTGTGTACATGTGTGTACTGTGTGTGTGTGTGTGTGTGTGTGTGTGTATCTGCAGTTGCCAATCCGCTATACTTAGGATACCACATGGCCTCTAAATGTGATTTTGCCACCCAGGGCCAAAATCACATTTAGAAACCCTTCCATTCAAAATCACATTCCCGAAACCCTTCAGTTCAGCGACTTCTCACTTTTTCGTGGTGCTGGTGATTCAACCCAGGGCTTCATCACACATGAAGGCAGGTGCTCTACCACTGGGCTATATCCCCAGCCCTCGGCAATATTCTGATTTCTCTCCAGTGATCGGCACTATTTCGGAAATCTGGTCCCAAAGGTTTGAAAGAATAGCAGTGCATCAAGAAGTGATGAGTCTGTTTTAATGATCATAGGTGTGCATTGAGGTAAAAAGCTTTGTAAAACTGTCAAGCAGGGAAGCACAGTGGTGGCTATAGAAACTTTTAGGTAAGTTCAGTACTAACGTTGCTCTACAAAACTCCCTTTATACCAATTATAAACGGGAAAGTTCTTATTGCTCCTGGAGTTTTAACCTCCAATCTTTTCTAGCTCCATTGAAAAATGTGTTTTCTCAACAAGTGATAACAAAGATCTCCAAATTTATAAAAAGCCACTGCCCATGCATCATTCTTTGATGAGCTTCTATTGGCCACAGCTATATGGACTATTCTATGCCTGGCTTTGACACTGAGTACAGAAAAAACCTTAGAAAAATTCTTTTTATCAAAGTTCAGTTCAATGAGAAAAAAAAAACACCACCACCATGAGAAAGTGCAAAATACATACAGTTCCTGGCATTTGTACACAGGATGTTTCTGACCAGAGACCATAAAAGTTTACATTTGTGTCATGAAATTACAGGGGATTTCACGTGACTGTGAGTATACAAGTTTTTGCTTCAAAGTGCTGACTTTATTGAAAAAAGGGGAAGATCAAGAGGGCTATAGGGATTTTTTTTTAAACAATATATCCGGGTCACATGTCCCAGGCTCCGGGGTTGGTGCTCTTCTGACTGTGTCCCCAAGCATTGTGGCCGTGGCAGGTCTGATCCCCACTGGTGCTCCTGGATCTCACTTACAGCAGCACCCGTGGGGTCCCATTGGGGGTGGCTCCTTTTTTCTTCTGAAGCCGATTCTGAACCTTCCGAGATTTCACCACTTTCATTCTCACCTCAAACACTTCATGGATGGCCTTCCGAAAGCAATGGAAATTGTAGTCTATTAGCCCTGGAGGTAGAAGGAAATAAAAGAATTTAGAATGTCACCTTCCCATGTTGTGCATGTCAGGACTGGCCAGTAGGGGGCAGAAGAGGAGCGGCCCAAGCCAAAGGACCCATTTCCCTCCCTCCTTCCTTAGGAAAGGTTCTGAAATACATAACACATTTTCTTTCCAGCAGGTGGGGCTACAGCCAATGGTGCTCAGCGGCTTTTCGTGGCTCTGTGCAGGTGTGGGGTGTCAGGGCAGCAGCATAACCAGCAAATGCCTTAACCCCTGTGTTCAGTCCCCAGAACACAACTTCAAAGCAATCTATGGTCCAAAAGATTTGGAGAACAAACTAGACTGTTTCCCCTTTTAGATAAAAAAAAAAAAGTACGAAAGATTTCTTGGGGCTAGAGCGATACCACAGCGGGTAGGGCGTTCGCCTTGCATGCGGCCAACTCAATTCCCAGCATCCCATATGGTCCCCCGAGCACCGCCAGGAGTAATTTCTGAGTGCACGAGCCAGGAGTAACCCTTGTGCATCGCCAGGTGTGACCCAAAAAGCCAGAGAGAGAGTGCAGGGCTTCCAGTGTTTGTCCTGCATGAGGCTAACCCTGGTTTGATCCCCAGCACCACATGTGGTGGTCCCCATGAGTGAATTCTTATGACTGCCAAGAGTGTTTCCTGAGCACAGAGCCAGGAGCAAACTCTTGAATACCACCAGGTGTGTTCCCCTACCCCCAGAAAGAAAAAAAATTTTGTTATTATTTTCATTAAATGGCATCATTTAAAAGACAGTCTTGAATGAGTGAAGGCAGACCTTGACTTGCAGTGTGACTGAGATCTCAAAATCAATTTGTCAGTAGCACTGTAGCACTGTCCTCCCGTTGTTCATTGATCTGCTGGAGTGGGCACCAGTAATGTCTCACAACAAATTGTGAGACTTGTTGTTCCTGTTTTTGGCACATCGAATACGTCACGGGGAGCTTGCCAGGCTTTGCTGTACTGTCGGTACTCACTGAATTTCTAATACTGTTTAGGCCAGTGCTCCAAAGGCGAGCATGGCCAGGCGAGAAACAACGTCCCTGGTTTTAAAGGTGTAACAGTCACCGCAGCAATTCCACCAGCAACTCCCTCATTCTTTCAGCGTTGAGTGTTTTATTTTTGGTAGGCTTAGGGGGTTGGGCCACCTCCAGTGGCACTTGGGGACTGACTACTCACTCTGTCCTCAGGGCACCACGCACAAGCCGTGCTAGGATTGAGAGCCAGTGGCATGCAAGGCAACCTCTTCAATGGTTGTGTTGTCTCTCCAGTCCCTTGGTGTTAAGTTTTAATGGAGAAATAGTAGGAAAGAACTCTATTGAGATTAAATATTGCCTTTTGCTACAATATAGATGGAACTGGAGGATAGCTTAATAAGTGAAATAGGACAGCAAAATAATAACAAAAACCTGACTACGTCTTTCACAGGTGCTACAAAAATAACTGAAGCAAGGGTATCCATAAAAAGGATGACCATGGGTATAATATTATCAAAGTAATGGGAGTTCGGTCCCAGTTGTCCAATAGACTCTGTGACGTTTTATCTTCATCATGGGCGTGATGTGGCAACTATAACGTATAAACACTTACATTCTTGGATACCAATGTTAATTCAATAAACATAAAATTTTAAAATAGTAGGAAAGAATCAACTTGCATTTTCAGAAACCAGTAGTAAAACAAAACAAAAAGGAGAAAATATATTTAAAAAAAAGGAGAAAATATAATCCAACTATAATCCAAATATAATCCATCGAAGTGATCATCGATGTCAAAAGAGGGGTTCGGCAGGGTGATACCTTTTCACCGAAACTCTTCAATGCTACCCTTGAGAATGTCATGCGATGACTGGAATGGGAAGGAATGGGAGTGAAGATAGACGGTCAGCAACTGCACAACCTCCGCTCACTGATGACATTATCCTAATAACACCAAACATTAGCCAAGCAGCACAAATGCTGGTCAACTTTGGCCGTGAGTGTGGAAAGGTTGGACTACAGCTGAATCTCACGAAGACAATGTTTATGACAAACAGCCTCGTTCCTGACGCTCCATTTGCTCTCAACGGAATGACCATCTCCGAATGCAACAGCTATGTGTACCTAGGTTGAGAAGTCAACATGACAAATGACCTGGCACCCGAGTTGCGCAGGAGGAAGAGAGAGGCTTGGAACACCTTCAAGAGTGTCGAAGAAATAGCTAAGAGGAAAAGGAACCTCCGGCTCCCGGCACATCTCTTCCATTCCACTGTTCTTCCTGCATTAACATACGCCTCAGAAACCTGGGCCCTACAAAAACAGGATGAGAACACTTTTCGGGTCTCCCAAAGAGGAATTGAAAAAACTATGGTTGGAGTATCACGTTTTACTCAAATGAGAGAAAGAATCCGGAGTTCCGACCTCCGTCGACTGTCACTTGTTTGCCAAGGGATGCTGTCTCATTTGCCAAGGCATCGAAAATCAGATGGGCTGGACACCTAATGAGATTTGGAGACAACTGCTGAACTAGAGCCGTTACCGACTGGATTCCATGGGACGTCGAAAGATCGCGTGGCCACCCACCTACCAGATGGTCAGATTTCTTCGTCAAGACCCTGAACGATTGATTTGAGGCTCTTTGTGTTCCTAGAATGAACAGACGCCATTGGGCTACACTAGCATGTGACAGGGACTAATGGAGACATTACCAGCGCCTGCTCGAGCAAATCGATGATCAATGGGAAGTCAAGTGATCAAGTTAAGTCAAGTCAATCCAACTATTATACATTTTCATCACTATCATTCATTAATTATGCCAGTTAGGATAAGGTAGGTGGTTCTATTTACTAGTTTTATTTTTATTTATTTATTTATTTGCTTTTTTGGGCCACATCTGCCAACGCTCAGGGGTAAATCCTCAGGGTTTTACACTAAGGAATTACTCCTGGCGGTGCTCTGAAAACCATATGGGATGTCATGGCCTGAACCTAGGTTGGCCACCTGCAAGGCAAATGCCCTACCCGCTGTATGACGGCTCCAGTCCTTATTTGCTATTCTTCCCCACTCCCCCTAGGTTTTATTATTTATTTATTTATTTATTTAGCTTTTTTGGGTCACACCTGGTGATGCACAGGGGTTCCTCCTGGCTCTGCACTCAGGAATTACTCCTGGCAGTGCTCGGGGGACCATATGGGATGCTGGGAATTGAACCCGGGTTGGCCATGTGCAAGGCAAACACCCTACCCACTGTGCTTATTTGCTATCTTTAAGCTTATTAAACTTGTGCCTGGAGTAGCCAGGGTGGTACAGTGGCTAGGGTGGTTCCCTTGCATGTGTGGCCCATACGGGTTCAATCAACAGAAACCCACGTGGTCCCCTGAGCCTCCTCAGAAGTGATCCCTGAGTGTAGAGTCGGAAGTATTTCCTGAGCATTGCCGGGTATAGCCTTAAAACAAACAAACAAACAAAACTTACTAAACTTAATAAAATTAGCCCAGTAATTACTCCTATCAATCCATGATGTGTCCAGACACCCAAACAAAAACAAAGGAGAGCTGGGATTCCAGCCAAGGATGAGATTCCTCAAAGCAGTCTCTTGCATACCCAAGGGGAAGAACGCCCCCCCCTGCCCCCCACTCCGTTTCCAGGAGCAGGAACCCCTCATGGCGCCCTCTGCAGCTTCTGCATTGATATGAACTCAGGTGCAGGGAAACTTGATGACCAATCAGAAGACTAACTCTACCCTCCTAGTTCCTCCCACTCCCCTGCTCTCTCTCTTTCTGTTTGGGGACCACATGTGGGTATGTTCAGGGCTTACCCCTGCTTCTGTGCACAGGAATCACACCTGGAGTAGCTGGGGGAACCATATAAAGTTCCTGGGATCAAACATGGGTCAGCCATATGCAAGGCAAACACCTGTATTTCACCCACTGTGCTATTATGTCTCTGGCCGTCGTATGCTTTGGGGGCCACACCCTGTGGCACTCATAACACAGTGCTTAGTGGAGCATACAGTGTCCAGAATGTGACACGGGGCTCCCACTTGAAAAGCATGCACTTCAGTCCTCTAAGCCAGATATCTTCCACAGGAGATCATCTTATCAAGAAAACACCAATGAGGCACTTTTAGGGAAAGAAATATAAATAAAAGCAAGGAGAAGAGAAAGGGATGATAGTTCTTTGCCTGTCGTATGTGTGATACACTGCCCAGGAAAAGCGTTGAAAAAGAATTGGGGCTCAAAATGATACAAGGTACAACTTGGGGAATTTCTGCACTGTAGCACTGTCCTCCCATTGGTCATCAATTTGCTCGACCGGGCACCAGTAATGTCTCCATTGTGAGACTTGTTACTGTTTTTGGCATACTGAATACACCACGGGTTTCTTGCCAGGCTCTGTCGTGCGGGCGGGATACTCTCGGTAGCTTGCCGGGTTCTCCGAGAAGGATGGAGGAATCGAACCTGGGTTGGCAAGGCAAACGCCCTACCTGCTGTGCTATCGCTCCAGCCCATGGCGGGGTTGGGGAGGGGGAATTTCAGAGACAAACTATTCTTGGCAACAGTTCTCGACCATCTTTAACTTATTCACTCTGGCCTGTTGCTAGAGATGACCATGATCTTGCTACATTTGAAGTGTTAAAATTCACAGGCGAGGAGGAGGGAAGCTCAATAGGCCAGAGGGCAGGCTTTGCATGCAAGAGCCCTCGGTTTGATCACTGACACCCCATGGTCCCCTGGGCACCAGGAGGAGGGACCCTGTGCACTGAGCTGGAAGCAGCTCCCAAAGACCCCAAGTGTGACCCATAAACACACACAAACCAAATAAATCCCCAAACACAGAATAGAGATTTTTAAAGAAAGTAGTCAGACAAAATATTTCTATTGGTTTCGACCCTTTTATGGGAGGTAGTTGAAAGTATAAAATATCATGAACCAAGTAAACCCATAACTCAACCCACACAGCCAGGAGCTACCCTACCTCCTCCTCTATTTAGTGTGTTCAGTAGCTCTTTATTGCCGGGGGGGCGGGGAGAGGGGGTCCATCTGACTACATGAGGGCTTACTCCTGACTCTGCTCTCAGGGATCATTTCTGGTGATCTTGGGAGACCATGTGGGGTGCCGGGGGTAGAACCTGGCTTGGCTGGGTGCAAGCAGGTGCCCTATCCCCTGTACTATCATTCGGGTTCCCCATTCAGTGGCTCTTGATATGAGTAGTGCAGTAAAACCTTCCAGAGAATTAATAAAAAAAACAAATAGCGTGCACATCTCTCCCCATACACAGTCCTTTTCCTAGGAATGCTACAGTACTGGAGAACACCCAAGTGTTCGCTTTATCCACCTCCCTTCCCAAAGGGACAGAAAGCTTGCACCTTCTCCACCCCTGGTATCATGAGGGTGACCCATTCAGATGGTTTGCTTGGGATTTCCCCAGTTTCCCCATGAAGAAGGTCTCTGTCCTGAGCAAATGGAGAGGTTGGTCACACAAAGATACACATGTTTTGGGCCAGAGAGTTAACACAGGGGTAAGGCAATTGCCTTGCATGCGGCCAACCCTCCAAGGCAAGCATTTCCTGCCACCACATGATCCCCCCAAGCACTGTGTAGCCCAAGAGCCCCCACCACTCCCAAAAAAATTTCACACAGAATTTTAATAATGCCTGCCTGGGCTGGAGAGATGGTTCAAATCTCCTATTTATTTATATCTCTGAGAGATTACGTTAAACTAAGAGGGGCCACGGAGATAGTTCATGTGACAGGGCAAATGCCCAGCAAGGACGGAGGCCTTGAGGTGACCTCCAGCACCACATCCCCTCCGCAGTCCCCTGCTTGTCTAGCCCCAGGAAGGCCCAGCATCACCGACCCACAGGAGCCAAGCTCTGCTGAATGTGGCCCTGACAGACACCCTAATACCTAGGTTTCAAGCTAACTCAATAAACACTATCAAATCTAACTACGCTCAGGATTCATGCCACCCAAGTGGATTAATAATCCATTACCAAAGATGCACGCAATGAATTCCTGTTTACACTTACTTCCACAACCATGGATCAAGGCTAATTTTAGCGGGCAAAAGTGTGAGGAGAAACAGGTCATGCGTACTTTGAGAGTAATTATTAACTGCAAAGAGAAAGGAGTAACTTTCCAGTGGAAAGAGCTGGACAACACAGCCTTCACGAAATCCCGGCTGCCCTCGCCAGTAGGAAGGGTGCGTGCGCCACGCTCCAGGCCGCTTTCCACACGCTCGGGCGGAGCTTCACATATGAGTGAACATATTCCTGGACACATCATAAAACACTCCTTACCCATTTTCCATAATTACCACACCATATTTGATGGGGTTCAGACAGTAGGCAACAAATCATAGAGGGAAATATATATATGCATATATACATATTTTCAGATATATATACCAAAGCTCACATCACCCCAACTTTAACAATATGTTAGTGATCCATTGCCTCTTTTGCAAACCACAACACCCAATAAGAGAGAGAGAACAAAAGGGAATGCCCTGCCACAGAGGCAGGGGGGGTGGGGGGTGGGAGGTATACTGGGATCCGTGGTGGTGGGAAATGGGCACCGGTGGAGGGATGGATATTTGATCATTGTATAATTGAAACCCAAGCACAAAAATGTGTAAGTCTGCAACTGTACCTCATGATGTCTATTAAAATTTTTTTTAATAAAAAAAAACCCAATGTTAGTGATATCCTATAGAATGATAGAATGTCTTAATGGCTCTTGCCAAAATAGAACAATCTTCACACTGTTTTCTATATGAACACTTTTTGTAAGCATGTTCAGCAGTTCTTCAAAACAGACAATATGAAATGTGTTATTTCAGTTGTGTCTTGGGACAAAGATTGGGGCTTGGAATGGAAACATCCCAAATTTGGTGGTGGGAAGGTGTAATGGTAGTGGGATTGGTGTTTGAATATTAAATGTAGTCAAATATTGTGAAGTGACTTATGAAATAAAAAAATTTAAAAAAAAAAGAAGGGTGCATGGACACTGGGAAACCTTGGACATTGAGACGCCAAAGGCCCCCATCACCTCTGTAGACTCAGACCCACAGACAGAATCTCATTCCAATTACATGAGAATATCCGTGGGCCCAATTCGCGGGTCACTCTACAGAATGATCAGTACTTCTCAAAAGTGACACCATTGTGAAAAATAAGGAACTGTCAAAGATTGGAGGAGAAAAGGGAAAATCATTTGGAATGAGACCAGGAAAAATGGGCATTTCTGGAGGGGAAAAAAAAAACTAGGGAAATTGAACTAAGGACTACGGTTCAGTTACTAGTACTATACCAAAGTTAATTCCCTTGTTGTGATAAGAGTATTAAATTGAAAATCAACTCAGGGGAGTGATAGGACAGCAGGGAGGGCATTTGCCTTGCACATGGTCATCCCGGGTTCAATCCCCAGCATTCCATACGGTCCCCCAGCACGGCCAGGAGTGATTCCTGAGTGCAGAGCCAGGAGTAACCCCTGAGCATCGCCGGATGGGACCCAAAAAGCAAAAATACAAAACAACAACAACAACAAAAAAAGGAAAATCAGCTCAGGGAGATAGTACAAGTGGTAGATGACAAGCCTAGCAAACATGAGGCCCTGAGTTCCATGCTCTGCCCAAAGTCCATTACCCATCTGCAGGCTTTTCTCCACCCCTCCCAGCATCACCAGGCCCCTAAGCGTAGCCCAAATGACACCAGGTAAGGCCTTGATGGTCCCCAAGTAGCAGTAGGCTGAGTTCAGCTGGGAGAGGCCCCAGGTTCCCTAGGCAGTCAGCTGTGACCCCTGTGAAAAAATCAGTTCAGGGATCAGAGCAATAGTACAAAGGGAAGGGAGGGCATTTGCCTTGCATGCAGCCCACCAGTGTTCAAACCCGGCGTCCCATATGGTCCCCCAAGCACTGTCAGGAATAATTCCTGAGTGCAGAACCAGGAGTAACACCTGATAATCGTTGGGTATGGTCCGAAAACAAACCAAAAAAAAGGGGAACAATTCAAACTAGAAAAAGCTCTCCAGGTGGACTCTAATATACCTGAGCTTTAGGACTTGCTGCCACCCTAGCCGGTGTGGGAGTGGTTGTTATACTACTCAATTGTTTGTTTGGGGGCCACACCCAGCTCTGCTCCGGCGACCATATAGGGTGCCAGGGATTGAACACAGGTCTGCTGCATGCAAGGAAAGTGTGCTACCCATTATACTATTACTCAGGCCCTATAGCTATACAACTCACATTACTTTTTATTTTTTTCATTTTGGGTCACACCTGGCAATGCACAGGGGTTAGTCCTGGCTCATGCACTCAGGAATTACTCCTGGCGGTGCTCAGGGGACCATATGGGATGCTGGGAAGCGAACCCGGATTGGCTGTGTGCAAAGCAAACACCTTACTTGCTGTGCTATCGCTCCAGCCCCACATTACTTTTACTTTCCTTAGCTTCCAAAATCAATATATATATTAATTACCAAGTACTACTTCTAGAGATATCTTCAACCAAGAAAATCAGCAGCAGCATATGCCTCATATGCATGAGGGTTTATCTCCCAATACCACATAAAATTTTTTTCCAAAAAGAGGAAAATGTATGTATAATCTACATACAATGGTTTACAGCAATACACACAACTGATTCTATATAGGGAAACCCGGAAATCCTTTGCTCTGTCAATCACTGGTGTTGGGGTCTTAGCAGATCATCATCTCTATTTTCTGGGTCTGGGTAAAATTCATCAAACCAGAGGACGAGGGCTGCAGAGACAGTATAGCAGGTAAGGTGCTTGCTGGTGTAGCTGACATGAGTTTGAACACTGTCACTGGCCCCTTCCTCCTATCCCCACCAAGAGTAATCCCTGAGCATAGAGCTGAACACAAGTGGATGTGCTCTTCTCTTGCAAAATGTGCTTTTCTCATGAATATGTATTGCTCAAGAGGAAAAGCAGGCTACTTTGTTGGAAATATTTTGTCCACTTATTGGTAAATCGTATCAGTGATTTGTCACCCATCAAATTAGTGAACTGCTAGTAAGCATCTCTGGATGCATCAGGCAGCAGGCTGTTCTGGGTTTAGATAGGGGAACAAGGTTGATTTTATATAAGGTTGTTTTTGCCTTGAAATCAAATTTAATCACGAAAAGATATACGATGTTTACCAAACACCTTCTCTGTCTTTGGGGTCATGAGGTCATGATACTGGCCCTGTGTTCTGAGGTGTTAAGAGGTACAGAACAACATGGCTCAGTTTCAATGACACATGAGCCTGACATCCCTCTTTCCTAGAGTCTCAGGAGGGTCCTTCAGACTGTCTGGAGCAGAGGTTCCCAACTTGATTTAACCTACCACCCCCTTTTCAGAAATAAACAAGTTTCACTGTGTGTTTCCAGGACATTGGACCTCTAAGCAAATAATCAAAAACCACCTGGCATTCAATATGGTCCCCCCCCCCCCCCCAGCACATCCAGGAGTAATTCCTGAGTGCATAGGCAGAAGTCATCCCCAGGCATCACCAGGTGTGACCCATCAATCAATCAATTAATCAATCAATAAACACTGACCCCTTCCCAGTGCACCTGCAGATACTTTCATGCCCCTGCACCATCAGTCCACCTGCACCTCAGAGAGGTATTGCCTAAGGTGAGGGGTGCAGACAGGGGAGGGCTGCTCCTCCCTGTGATGCAGGTACCAGAGTCCCCAGATCCTCTCATCACTAGTATCCATGCTGGGCACCCTGCAGGGAGAGGCTAGTGCTGCCTGCCCCCAAATAGGGCAGAGGCTGGTTCTGTTGGCAGAAGCCTGGCCCTATGTGCAGGATCTCAGCCCGCAGCTGCCAACCCCACCACATTCGACAAGCACAGAAGGCCCTCAAGTGGCCACGCTGCCCTGAGCCAGGCCAGAACCAGTACCTTTCCTTTCAAAGCTCTCCTCTCGGACAAAGCAAACCAGGGCCAGGAACTTGGTCACCTCCTTCAAATAAAGAACTGTCGTATTATTTAGCTTGATAATGGCAGTCGATTCCTTGTCATAGGGGGTGCCAGCTCCATCTTCTTTGAGACTAAATGGGAAGAGAAAATCAAAACATATTTGACCACGAGAAAGAACTAGAAATTGTACACTTACACCCCTCCACCACACTTACAAACACACACACACCAGCTTTAGCACAAAGTGTGAGGATCACTAAGACAAGGATAAAACCTTGAGTATCTCTCAGCCAAATGGCTCAGAAATATGCAGTCACACTGTTGGACCCAGCAGAACACAGGCACCTTCCTATGGACACAATCAGTGGCTTCTGAAGCAATGGGTAAGTTCTGCTGCCTAAAATCATAGGTGAGTGAGGGGCTGGAGAAATAGCACAGTGGGTAGGGTGTTTGCCTTGCATGCAGCCAACCCGGGTTCAAATCCCAGCATCCCATATGGTCCCCGGAGCACCGCCAGGAGTAATTCCTGATTGTAGAGCCAGGAGTAACCCCAGAGCATTGGCTGGGTGTGACCCAAAAAGCAAAACTAAATACATAAAAAAATAAAAACAAATAAAGTGCCTTCATGCCGTACCGAGGTCACGAGTTGCCCCCCACAAGTGGCTCTCCAGCACGGCCATGGCTCCAGAAGCACAAGGACTTAATGCAGAGCCCGACATTTTGCGGCAGAAAAGTGAATGGACTATGCGTTAATCCATGGTACCATGCCCAACCGGGAGGAAAGGGGTGTCATTCCCTTCCGACTTTTTCCCCCTGGACAACAAGATACTGGCCTCCTCAGAGCTTTTTGGAAAGCCAGGTATGAGCCAGTGGTGACGGGGCAACTGAAACCTCATGGGAAGGGGGGCGTTCCCGGCTCATCCTTCACACCCTACCGAGGTCACGAGTTGCCCCCCACGAGCGGCTCTCAGGCATGGCCATGGTCCCAGAGCCACAGAAACCAATCTCGTAGTTATCTGGCTGTTGGCAGAAATACCTCCAGGCTTACTAAGTAAAATATCAGAAATCCTAAATCGCACGGTCACTATTGTGGCTGCATGACATCATATGGTTCTCATAACTAACTGTAGAAAACAAATTATTTCACAATGCCTTTTTAGCAGTTCTGATTGTTGGGTGTAAACTCTAAACAATAATGGTGCATCTTTTGTCGAAATAATGAATGTAATCAAAGTAGATAGAGTGTTAAGTAGAATTCATCTGCCTCACAGGCATTGGGAGGGGTGGGAGGGGGGTATACTGAGGTTCTTGGTGGTGAAAAAGAAGTATGGTGAAGGAAAATGTGTTTGATCATTGCATGACCGAGACTTAAACCTGAAAGCTTTGTAACTTTTCCCACAGTGATTCAATAAATAAATATTAAAAAAAATCACAGGTGAGGGAGAGAGAGCTGCGTTCCTTCCCTCCATGGCCTGTGAGGTTTCCTGCTTTTCCACTGTCTGAGGAAACTATGAGAGCTGAAGAACATTCCAAATAAAAGGTGGCTGAAGAGACGTGACGGTCAAATGCTGGGCCACGTTCTGGATCAGGAATGAACTCATAATGTATTCAATTAAGATATGTGGGGGCTGGAGTGATAGCACAGCAGGTAGGGAGGTTGTTTTGCATGTGGTTGGCCCAGGTTCAATTCCCAGCATCCCATATGATACCCTGACCACTGCCATGGGTAATTCCTGAGTGCATGAACCAGGAATAATCCCTGTGCATTGCTGGGTGTCACCCAAAAAGCAAAAAAAAAAAAAAGATTAAGACATATATCTGGATCAGGATGATACACATTAAGAGTTCATCTGGATCAAAAGTTCATCTGGATATGGATCTTATATATAAAGGGTTCATCTGGATCCAGGATGAACTCATATATTAAAGAGAGTGTGAAACGGAAAAAAAAGTGCTGGAACCACAAGATCTAAATATCCACTAGATACTTGGAGAGCAAGCATAGCAGGTGAAGATGGTCACTTGGAATAAAACCGTGATCCTCTAAGAGAATTTCTTGTGGACCTGAGCACAGCACATGTTCAACCCAGGTTTGATTCTCAGCACTCCATATGATCCCCCAAGTCCCACCAGTAGTGAACATTGAGCATAAAGCTGGGAATAAGTCCTGAGCAGCCACGGGGTATAGCCCAACCACCACAGGGAGAGAGGGAGAGGGAGGGAGAGAGAGAGAGAGAGAGAGAGAGAGAGAGAGAGAGTGTTCATCAGACACAGATGCTCAAATAGCTAGGGTCAGAAAAGCATGTCATATGGGTTAAAAAGAGAGCAGATACAGCACATTGATTATTCTTGAAAGAATCAATGAATTCCAGTGGAAGGGTATATGGAAATTCAATTACCTTCTTACATAGATTCTACAGGTTTGAAATGCTTTCAAAATAGGATGCTAAATGATTATGTTGGTCTGCTGAGAAAGAGGTGCATGGCCTGCAGTCACAGGGTTTGGGTTTGAATCCCAGCTCTCTTACTGTGTGAACTGGGGCAAGCTGAACAACTTCGTTGAGGCATCATTTCTTCACTCGTATTTTCACAGCAATTGCTTCCGAGTTTCCCAATGCAATGAAACAATGCATACACAGCACTCAGCACAGTGCTGACAACATATAAAATGCACATGCATGCTACCTGCTGTCATTTAACCCTGACCTCAATGATTCAAATTGGACCCTCTACAGACAGTGATAGACTTAACTGTGATTCCTCTCCTCATATAGGCAGAGGCCTACTTCTCTACCTTTTCCCTTCATCTGAAACTGTAATACACATGTTAAGGGGGGAACATACGCAGCACTGCCCGTGTGTGTGTGGGTTGGTTGGGGGGCAACTCCCAGCAATGTACTCAGGAGACTGTGGACTGTGGTCATTGGACAGAAGCTGGGGCTCCCCCATACACAGCATGTGCTCCAGCTTTTGACTATCACTCATCTCCTGGGCATACACTGACATTTTTCATGTTACTTTCTGTATGTATGAACTATTGACCACAAATGTGACCTAATTGGAACTATGTTAAGACTTATTAGCACAGTCCTGGCTTCAGCACATATCCTAAAATTGGAGTGAATCAGAGAAAATTAGCCCCTGTGCAAGGACAACATGCAAATTCATGAAGTGCTCCATATTAAAAAAAATTATTAATACAATAGTGATTCACAGTGTTCTACCTTATCACAGTGTTCTACCTCTTGCACAAGAGAAACCAGAATTTATTAAATAGTAATGTGTGATGGGTCCTAGTTTTAGTTCTTACTGTGCATTTTCTACTGTATAGCGCAAAGAATCTTCTAAAAACTCTTCAGCAGGCTGGAGAGATCACTCAGGGGGCTGCACACATGCTCTGCATGCAGGAGGTCTGGGTTCAATCCCTAGCAACACATGGTCCCCCCATAGTGGGTGGGGGAGTTTGGGCAACACCAGGTATATGTGGGATTTACTCCTGGCTCTGCACTCAGGGATGACTCCTGGTGGGACAAGGGGACTGGATCAAACCCAGGTTGGCATGCTGTCCTAATCTCTCAGGCACCTAAAGAAAATCTATAAGAAGTGATAGAACTCAGATACTAAGAATGCTCTAACATATTTAAGTTTCTTAGCATTACTTTTACTATTTATCTATTCTTTTAGACTGGATTTCTCTTATTTTATAGTAATGTGCTCAGAATAAGAAGCTGAAGCATTAAACATTTTTGTACACAGGGCCAAGTGTACAGATCAAGGTGCTGAGGCTGACTCAGTGATTTGCATGTTGGCTACCCTCTACCCACAGAATAAAATCAACATAAATGGCAATGATGACATTTTCTAGGTAAGGAGACAGACTAAAGGTTCTTTCCATTTCCTTTTCATACTTTTACATCGCTTCTATAGTGAGCATGTATTTTCTTCCTAATCAGGAAAAAGTTAAACACCGAACAACAAAGAAAAACAAAAAAAGACCACAAAAAAAGCCACAAGATATTGATGAGGTTTAACAACTACCACAACCATGTATTACTACTTTTGTTTCCGTTCAGTGAATCAAAGGATGCACATAAAGATAAAACGCAACAGCTCCAGTGTGTGTGCATGTGTGTGTGTGTGTGCATACATGTGCGCACACGCGTGTGTGTGCATGTGTACACAGCCACAACTCCAGCTGCCCCTGTCTGCACTGAGGCTGGCTGGTACTGTTCCAGCAAACAATCCGAGGAACCCCAAGTCTCATTCCGCCTCAGACTGGTTCTTACTGCTCCCAGTGGCTTCCTGGGAACACCATCCTCCAGGAAGGAAAAATAATCCGCAAACAGGACACAGCTCCAGGCTCCTTCTCTCCCCATGTTTGTTTTCACTGGTTGTGAGTAACTGATGAACAACATTTACTCAAACAACCTACCACTTATTATGTCTAATTACCATATGGCCCAAGGAGAACTCTGAAAATCGTTAAGTAGGGGCCAGATTAATTGTGTTCTTCCTGTATCTGATTATGACAGCAATCTAGCCTATAATCAGAGTACATTCAGCTTCAAGGAGTATTTCAAGGTCATCCTGTTATTATGTAAAAACAACAATACTGCAGGGCAGTCATCTTGGGGGAAAGGATCTCCTGCCGAAGGCAGATGGCAGTGTTGAATAAACAACAATAAGACAAACAAGAAGATTCGTGGCAGCCACAATTTTACTGTCTATCTACCTAATGATGTTTCATCTTCTAGACAGTTCTGCACTCCTGTCCTGTTCCATAAAAGGGACTTTGAATATGCACAAACGTAGAAGAGAGTTAACAAAATCTGCAAAGGATTTCTAGATAGGGAAATGGTGAGGCTGAGATTTCTACAAAAGCAACAGGACAGAAGAGATTGTTTAAAGAGGGACATGCCACCAGTGAAACATGTTGTTACTGTGTTTGGCATATCAAATACGTAACGGGTAGCTTGCCAGGCAGCCGTGAGGGTGAAATACTCTCGGTAGCTTGCCAGGCTCTCCGAGAGGGGCAGAAGAATCGAACCCTGCTTGGCCCAGCCGGCCGCGCACAAGGCAAACATCCTACCACTGTGCTATTGCTCCAACCTCTAGCACAGTGGTAGGGCGTTTGCCTTGCAAGCGGCCAACATGGCCGACCCGAGTTCGATTCCTCCGCCCACACGGCAAAGCCTGGCAAGCTACCTGTGACGTATTCGATATGCCAAACACAGTAATAACTGTCACAATGGATATGTTACTGGGCCTGCTCGAGCAAATCGATGAACAACGGGAGGACAGTGACAGTGATACCACCAGTAAAGAAGAAAATAAACAAAAGCCCTTATGAGGCTCTGAATCCAATACAGGGCGAGAGCGATATAGTACAGTGGGTACAGCATTTGTCTTGCATGCAGCCTACCGGGGTTTAATCCCCGGTATCCCACAGGGTGCCCTGAGTCCACCAGGAGTATTGCTAAGTGAAGAGCCGGGGTAGCCCCTAAGCATTGCCAGGTGTGTTCCCCCACAAAATAAACCCAGCAGTTATTTCCAATAATGAAGATAATAAAACTGTTGTTACTATAAATTATTTACCTAGAATTCAAGGATCCCATTAATCTCTCCCGAGTGTAAATGGCATGATGATATGAGGACAAGAGTCAGACTAGAGTTCAAATTCCAGTTCTTTGTCTTACTGGACCCTTAGAAATTTAACCCCTCTCAGCCTCACATCTCTAAAGTCACGGTCAAGGTCACAGTCCTCCCGTTGTTCATCAATTTGCTTGAGTGGGCGCAATAACATTGTGAGACTTGTTACTGTGTCTGGCATATTGAATACGTCACGGGGAGCTTGCCAGGCTCTGCCGTGCGGGCGAGATACTCTCGGTAGCTTGCCGGGCTCTCCGAGAGGGGCAGAGGAATCGAACTTGGGTCGGCCATGTTGGCTGCGTGCAAGGCAAACGCCCCACCCACTGTGCTATTGCTCCAGCCATCTCTAAAGTGGGGAGAGTAATATCAGAGGTATGGAATAATGAATAATTTGATAATATAATGTAGCACTGTAGCACTATCCTCCTGTTGTTCATCGATTTGCTTGAGCAGGCACCAGTAACGTTTTTGTAAAGTAATTGTGAGACTTGTTGTTACTGTTTTTGGCATATCAAATACACCACAGGGGAGCTTGCCAGGCTCTGCCTTGCAGGCGGGATACTCTTGGTAGCTTGCTGGGCTCTCCGAAAGGGACAGAGGAATCGAACCCAGGTCAGCCGCCCTATACAATATTATTAGAACAATGCAGCATTTACTCAGTAATTGTTATTATTTCATGCTAAGTGATATATATATTTATATGAAAGAAAAGAATGCCTTAAGTGTAACCTTTAAAAATGTTTTACTTGCTACAGTGGGGAAGGGGCTTGTCTTATACACAGCCAACCCAGGTATGGCCTCAGAACCACATATGGTCCCCTGAGCCTCACCAGGAATGATTCCTGAGCACAGAGCCAGGCATAAGCCCTGAGCACCAGGAAGCATCACCAAAAAAAAAAAAAAGTTTTATTTACATAAGGGCCAGGAAGATGATAGCTTAGTGGGCTGGAGTACAAGCTTTACATGCCAGAAATCTGGGTTCAAACTGTAACACTGTATAATCCCCTGAGCACTGCTGGGAACACCCCCAGAGCACTAAGCTGGGAGTAGCCCCTGAGCACTGCCAGGTGTGTCCCCCCAAAATAGTGTTTTACTTACCCATAAATACAAGAGATGTCAATAACCACATCGATCATATCACAGCAGAGCTCATAGGTTTGCATATCCACGGGGGTACTATCAGTTGCAATATAAATTTTACTGACCACATCAAATAGAAATGCCTTTTCAATTCCAGAATTCTAAAACAAAAAAGGAAATACTGTCTTTAATGGGATGCCTGAGTTCATACTCTGTCACGGTTAAATACATACCAGGCTAACCTCAGTATAAAACATGACAGAGCTAGGAATTGCCCCTGAAAACATCTTTGGTGTGGTCCCAAACACCCTCCAAAATAGAATATGAATAAAATTTGTTACTAAAAGTTAAAAAAAAATTAAATAACTCAGGTGGTTCTATTTCATTGCAATGAAAACTCACAGTCATAAACTTCTTTATAATGGAGTTCCGTAAAAATGAAAAATGAATTATCATGAATTGGGCATTATTTCCTGACTCCATAGAATTATCTGCTTTAGGGAAAAGGCCAAATAAGAATATTTATTTTACAGTTGTAGAGATAGTTTTCTTGTTAGGGATCAAGCCAGGGCCTGATTCTTTCAAGGTAATGCTCTATCACTGAGCTAGATTTCTGCCATTAAGTAAAAAAAAGTAAAGGCCCTCCCGTTGATCATCGATTTGCTCGAGCGGGCCCAGTAACGTCTCCTTTGGAGACTTTGTTGTTACTGTGTCTGGCATATGGAATACGTCCCAGGGAGTTTGCCAGGCTCTGCCGTGCGGGCAAGATACTCTCGGTAGCTTGCCGGGCTCTCCGAGAGGGGCGGAGGAATCGAACTCGGGTCAGTCATGTTGGCTGCGTGCAAGGCAAACGCCCTACCGCTGTGCTATCGCTTCTGCAATCATTTTAGACTTAAAAGTCAATTTTAAAAAATCTAAAAAAACAATAAACTAAACAAGCTCAAAATTGTGCAGTGAGAATAAATCTGAATACAATCAATAGGTCTACATTAATTCTGCCCTGCAAGCCTGCTTTGAGCTCACTCAGAAAGTGCACCAATCAAGTGTTTTTGTTGTTGCTGTTAATGTTCTTCTATGTCAAAAATACTAAAATTATTTTAAAAAATCGTTTTTTAGGGGCTGGCGAGATAGTACAGAGTTAAGATGCTAGCCTTGCACTGACCCCAGCATGTCGGGAGCACTGATCCTCCCAAGCACTGCCAGGAGTGATGATCTCTGAGCACCACTGAGTGTGGCCCAAAACCAAAAAAAAAAAAAAGAGCCAGGGAGCTAGATAGAGGACATATCTTCCATGCAGCCAATCAAAAGTTGGACTCCCCAGCACCACATGATCCTCCGATCATCAGAAGCAGGAATAAGGCCTAAGCATGGCTGGGTGTGGTCCAGAAAACAAACATAAGTAAATAAAATATTAAACTATATACCCTAATGCCAGAAAAATTGTTTCTATCCCAGACCTCTGATAGAGCTCATCTACTGCTGAATGAATGCCTAAGGCCCAGTCCCAGCAAACACTGCAGTTATACCAGTGAACTACAGACGCCTATTCTGGGAGTTAAAAATTTAATGGAATAAAAGCAATATAGAGGAATGCCTTCTAAAGCAATATTTCAAAGTTGGAAGCTTGGCTCAAAGGGCCGGAGCATATGATTTATGTGTAGGAGGTCTGGGTTCAATCTCTAGCACCTCATGATCCTTCAGACACAACCAGGTACAGGCAAAAAAGCAAAAAGCTAATTAACAAAACCCAGTAACAGGGGTCAAAGACATAGTTCCAGGGGTAAGGTATTTTTCTTGCACGTGGCCAATCTCTCGGAGAGCCTGGCAAGCTAACGAGAGTATTTCGCCCGCACAGCAAAGCCTGGCAAGCTCCCCGTGGCGTATTCGATATGCCCAACACAGTAACAAGTCTCACAATGGTGACGTTACTGGGTCCGCTTGAGCAAATCGATGAACAATCGGAGGACAGTGACAGTGACAGTGGCCAATCTCCAGTTTGATTCCCTCCATCATATATTGCTCCCTTCTCTGAGCCTTTCTAGAGGTAACCCCTGATCACAAAACTGGGAGTTGCCCTCAAGGACTACCAGGTATGGCCCCCAGAATACAAAATAACCAAAAACTAAACACTTCAGGGGCCAGGAATGTAGCTCAGTAGTGATTTGTATGTGTGAAGGGCTGGGTTTGGTCCTCAGCACCAACGGGTGGGGGTGGGGGAATAATACTTTAGTAATAAAAATACTTTGAACAACTTTGAAATGCTAACAGGCTAAACAGAATTCAGATATATTTTTACTCTTGGAATTTTATTTACAAGTTCTAGGGGGCTGGAGCGATCGTACAGCGGGGAAGGCATTTGCCTTGCATGTGGCCAACCCAGGTTCAATCCTCGACATCCTGTATGATCCCCTGAGCACGGCCAGGAGTGATTCCTGAGTGCAGAGCCAGGAGTAACCCGAGCATCACTGGGTGTGACCCAAAAAGCTAAATAAAAAAAAAAATTCTAAGACAAGTTTAACGGTGATATTATTTACTTACAGAGATAAAGATGTTTAGCAAATTCTCCAGGGTGGGGAGTTGAGGAATCAGTTTCTGAACCACTTTGCTAAAAGCTTCAAATATTGAGTGATCGTATATGCTCGTCAGATAGAAGCTGCAAGAGGAAGTGGTATTTTGTCATGGTTTCCTTTGAGGAGTAGATTGCTTTGGCTATGTCACAACCCCTGCCTTCTGCTCTGCCACATGTGAAATTCCACATGACACAGCCCCAAAATGCCTCCTACATCTGCCCTAACTCCCCCAAAGCAAGCGACGAGCCATTCTCATCTGCAGACCCTCTGAACTGGGAAGCTAAAGATGCAGTGATGGAACAAACACCGAGCTCAAAGGGCTGAGTGAATGCCTGGCAGGCAGGAGGCTGGGGGCAATCCCTGGCACCAAATGGTCCCAAGCACCATGGGTAACAACCCTAGAATAGCACGGGAATAAACCCAAAGCACCACCAAATTAACAACAAACAAATTAATGAGAATTTAAAAAAAAAAAATGGAGTGGTATGTGTCCATACCAGTGTCCTTACGGTTTGCAAAAGAATTCATACCAGATCATCTTCATAAGACTCCTAGCTGAGCAAGTCATATTATTAAAATTGAAGTATTCATCTTTTTCATTTTCCACTCAAATTTACAAATGGAAGGAGGCATATACCACTGCACTGAAAATAAATAAAAAGAAGGAGGGCCAGAGAAATAGTACAGTGGGCATGATGCTTATCTTGCATGAGGCCAACCTGGGTTCAATCCCTGGTATCCCCTAGAGTCCCCTAAGCACCTCCAGGAGTTACCCTGAGTACAAAACCAGGAGTAACTTCTGAGCGCCACTGGGTGTGCTCCCAAAACGAAGGTTGTAATTATCTTGATAAAACATAAAATGAGTATAGAGTATATGAAAAAGAATTTGTGTAAAGGATAGAAATTATTTTCCTCTATATTTCTTTTATGTGAATTATTTTTATAGTCTTTTTTTTGTTATTACTGTTCTTGGACCACAACCTGGCAGTGTTCAGATATTCTGCTCACTCCTGGCAGGCTTGGGGGATCATCTGGGGTGCCAGGGATTGAACCCAGTCAGCCGTGTGTAAGGCAAGCACCCTACCCACTATATATTATCGCTCTGGCCCCTCATAGTCTTCTTTTACTTATGACTACAGGTACCAACGTATTGATCAGGAAGTAGAAATTTCAAGGGTTGAAGAAATAGAACAGGAGTTAAGGCATTTGCCTTGCATGCAGCTGACCTCTGGGAACTGAAGAGTGTGGGAAAAAAACCACGTCCTCCCCCCACCAAAAAGAACTAGAAACTTCCATCTTGATTGACTTCCTGGCTTACTCCTGGCTTTGCACTCAAGAATCACTCCTGGCAGAGCTCAGAGACCATGTGATGTGAGCTGCTGGGAATTGAACCCGGGTCAGCCTGTGTGCAAGGCAGCCACCCTACCCGCTGTACTATTTCTCTAGCCCCCTGGTGTCTCTCATATGGTACAAGAGCCTTAGTTTTGGTCATCTGCTAAAATTGTTTATCGCCTCATTGCTTTTGTCAAAAATTAAATTAGCACATGCAAAGCTAAACTTTCCCCAAATAATATCCCAGCACCTACAGCACAAAACAGGATAAACAGGCGGATCACTGCCCAGGCCAAACCACCTGTCACTTTGGATTCCAAACCTGCTTTCACCCCTGCCTTGCTGGGTGATTACCGAGCGAGGGAGTGTGTGGGGGGGGGGAGGTTGGCTCTTACCTGAGGTGAATTTTCTCTAGTCCAGCATCTGCAAGGTCATCGTTTGCCCTCTGGTGAATGTCTCTTTGGGTTTCAATTTTGTGGTCGTCTGACAGACCGTCCACTTTATGAATAAACACCTCGAAGTTGATGTCGGTGTTCACTTTGTAGGCCCTGGTCACAGTGAGGTGGAGCCTGGCCAGGGCTTCCATGTAATCGTCCTGGGAACAAACGGACTGTCAGAGCAGGCCGCACCGTTTCCTCAGCCCCCCAACTCTCTCTGAGCCCCCATCTCACTGAGGTTAGGATGTTCTGAGCCAGTTGTTCTCAACATTTCTTCACCCACAGCTTCCTTCCGACCCCGTTTTCTTCCTCTGTTCTCTGCCTCCTTGTCCTAGTGTGGGTCCCCTTCTTGCAGAATTTCCAACTGTGGCCCCTTAGCATATCCTCCTGGGGTTCCTGACTGAGACACACCGATCTAGAGTAATGGCACTCTAGTAACATGGTACGATCTTCCTCCTTCCTACAGATAATGCCCATAATAGTGCCACAGTGAATACTTGTGTGTGCTTCTCATTCAGAGTCAAGTGTAGACCTGAGATCATGTGCTCTTCCCTCTCCCCCAACTCTATCGCTCACTCTCCCCTCTTCCCTCCAAGGCAACCACCACCCCGAATTTAGTCTTTATACTCATTCACATTACCACACACATAGGTATCCCTAAACATGAAGAACGCATTTGCCTGGCCATAAATTGACAGAAACATCAAGCTACAGGGGCTGGACAGATGGTACAATGGGTGTGGCGCTTGCCCCACAAGCAGCTGACCCGGGTTTGATCCCCAGCATCCCATACAGTCTCCTGCACACCGTCAGGAGTGATTCCTGAGTGCAGAGCCAGGTGTAACCCCTGAACATTGCTAGGTATGGCCCCCAAACAAACAAAACCAAGGAATATCTAGCTACATTTTTTTGACCACACCCCGCTATGCTCATGCCTTACTTCTGGCTCTGTGCTCAGGGATCACTTCTGGCTCCTGGTGCTACTCAGGGGACGAAATACAGTGTCAGGGATCAAACCAAGTTCAGCTACTCTTCCCCTGCCCCTTACTCATCATTTAGCAAAGAGATTTTTTTTTTCTTTGTGTGTAACACCCGGTGATGCATGGGGGTTACTCCTGACTCATGCACTCAGGAATTACTACTGGCAGTGCTCAGGGGACCATATGGGATGCTAGGAATCGAACCCAGGTTGGCCGTGTGCAAGACAAATGCCCTACCCACTGTGCTCTCACTCCAATCTTATCAAGAGATTTATCTACAGAGATGTGCATAGCTCCTTTCAACGTTTCTATAAAAGTGCATTGTGGGGACGGTCTAAGCCAGCCACTAGACATTCCGATGTGCCAAGACAGACAGTGATCCTGAACAGTGTCACGCTCATTATCTGTGTGCCTGTCTGCGAGGCTTTGAAGGCTGACTAGCTGGATGAGAGAAATGAGCAGTCTCGCTTGGCTGGTCCACAGGAAAGAACACCACCCTCTCCAGGTTCCAAACTCAGCACTCAGAGTTGCCACATCTCTTAATTATGGCCAATCTGCAGGTGTGAGCAGGTCATTTTTATAGCAAAGGAGAGGAACTGCCAGGACAGAACTTAAAGCACTTTCACCCTCTATTCTCGTGGTGTTTGTTTTTTCGTTTGTTTTGCTTAGTTTGATTTTGTTTTCGTTTCAGGTTTGGGGCCACACCCAGCAGTGTCCAGGGTTTACTCCTGGCTCTGCGTGGTACGCTATGCAGTGCTGGAGATCAGATTGGGTTCAGTCACATACAAGGCAAATGCCTTAACTACTGACCTCTCTATCCCTCACCTTCCATTCTGGCTCTGAATCTGAATACAGAAAGTAAATAAAATGGGATGTTGTGAGACCCTGGGATGGATCCCCAGCAATGCACAAAAAAAATGTGGAGAGAGGGTTGTTTCTTGGCATTCTTCTGTTTCCCACACTAAATTAATAGTTCCTAGTCTCAAGAGAAATCAAAATATGAGATACTAACTGGAATCTATGAAGAGGGAAATATTCTCTCTTATCCTTCATGCCTTAAAGAACTGTTAAGGGCCAGAGTGATAGTACAGCAGGTATGACACAAACCTTACATGTGGCCAACCTGGCTTCTATTCCATAGGTTCCCCCCCCCCCCCCCCGCAGTGTGGCTTAAAAAACAAAAATAAAAATAAAGTTGTAGAGATAGTGCAGTGGTTAGGGCACTGGCCTACCATGCAGTCTACCCTCATTCAATCCCCAGCACTACATGTTCCCCCAGACACCACCAGAAGTAACTTCTGATACAGAGCAGTGAGTAGTCCCCTGAGCACTGCAGGCATGCCCCCCAACACCAAAAACATGAAAAAACAAGAGCTGTTGTAAATAAAGACAAATTGTAGGCTCTGACTAGTTCCTTAATTTAGCAATCCGGAACAATTCTAGAATAATGATTTACAGTCCTTCTTGAATATCATTTTTTAAAAAAAATCTCATCTAGAAACTAAAACTATCACCAGCCTGTTTTACACATATATAATTCTAGAAAAAGCAGACAATGGTGAAGAAAGCGTATCAGAAGCTGCCTGGGCTGAGGTTTGAGAAAGAATATAAAACAATCTTGTAGGTGGTGGAAATATTCTCTATCTTGAGTATGAGGTCATACTATCTATGTATCTATGCATCTATCCATCTATATATCTATATCTCTCTATATATATGATTAAGTTCAACTATCTACTTAAAACCAGTGCGTCTGGGGTTGGAGCGATAGCACAGCAGGTAGGGCGTTTGCCTTGTACATGGCTGGCCCAGGTTTGATTCCCAGCATCCCATATGGTCCCCGAGCACCACCAGGAGTAATTCCTGAGTGCAAAGCCAGGAGTAACCCCTGAACATCACCGGTGTGACCCAAAAAGAAAAAAAATTGCTTCTATTATATATATATATAATATATATATATATTGGTCACGGTCCTCCCATTGTTCATCTATTTGCTCGAAAGGGCCCAGTAACGTCTCCATTGGAGACTTTGTTGTTACTGTGTTTAGCATATCGAATCCGTCATGGGGAGCTTGCCAGGCTCTGCCGTGCGGGCGAGATACTGTCGGTAGCTTGCCGGGCTCTCCGAGAGGGGCAGAGGAATCGAACTCGGGTTGGTCATGTTGGCCGCTTGTAAGGCAAATGCCCTACCACTGTGCTAAAGTCCAAAAAAAAAATAAAAGAATTATTATAGCTATCTGTGGCTGGAGAGGGGCTTTATGTACACATGTCTGTGAGCAAAAGTGGCCAGTATCAAGAAAGCATCAGTCTCGGAGGACTGGAACGTCTACTCTAAACTGTCTGCCAAGCATACAAGCATATCTAATAGTCTGATTACTGGGACCTGGGACAGAAGAGACGGTCCAAGAGGCTGAGCACCGCTTTGTACGCAGAAAAGTCCTGGGTTTGATCTCCTGCACTGAGATTCATCAGGAGCCACCCGGAGCAACCCCAGGAGTATCCTCAGGCACAGCCAGGTGTAGCCCAAAAACAACAGCAAGAAAAACAAAAAGTCTCATTACCAACCAACTGATGAAGAAGAGGCATAGGGCTATAAGAAACAAAGAATGACATTATTAGGACCTACGTGAGGAAGTTGTGAAAGATTTTCTTCTGCTGCGTTGATTATCTTTCTTGATTAATAAAAACAGAGGGGAAATATGCTGTCTTGTTTCTCCCCCAGAATTAGATGAAGGATTGTGGTAGGTCAGTCCCCAACACAGATCCAATTAATTGGGATTTGGGATCCTAAAGCAAAAATGTGACACAGCTGCAGGGAGCTGAAGGTGGCCTGGGAGGAACACAATGTGGTTCTGGAGAGCGACAGGAAGTGTCACACTGTCAGCCTAGGAGGAATCACTCTGGATGATGCTTCCATGTACTTGCATTGTACAGACTTTTGTAAAGACTCATTTTCTCCTTGCCAATACAGCTATCTGGCTATCCTGAGATCATGAGTCGCAAGCCCAATATAAAAATATGGGGTCTCAGGGGCCAGAGCAATAGTACAGTGGGTAGGGAGTTTGCCTTGCACGCGGCCGACCTGGGTTTGATTCCCAGCATTCCATATGGTCCCCTGAGCACTGCCAGAAGTAATTCCTGAGCGCATGAGTCAGGAGTAACCCCCGTGCATCACCGGGCATGACACAAAAAGAAAAAAAATGAGGTTTCAGAGCCACAGAGCATTGCTTAGAGGGAAAGGCAATAGCATTCAAGGATGATGGAGTGATGTGGCTAGTTTGCTCTTCCTTTTGCTGGTTGTGATGGTATCCTGGAAAGCAGCCCACACAGGCACCAGGGTGCTCCCGGGATGGAGTGCAGGGTCTACATGCAGGAGCAGGAGCTCCAGGTTCTATCCTCAGCACATAGGGCCCCCCCACCACCACCACCCTGAGCTCCTCACTGGGAGTGGAATGGTTTTAAGATTCCCACACATGTAATTCACATGTTACAAAAGTACCTAGACTCTGCAACACCCTATTTACGTATTTCTTATTTTCAATAAAACATTAGTTCCCTGTGATGTTTTTCCTTTTACAAAAGTTTGAATTACTACAGAAGGTAGGGCATTTGCTTTGCACATGGCTGACCTGAGTTCAGTCCCTGGAACCTGATATGGTCCCCTGATCCCTGCCAGGAGTGATCCCTGAGTCCAAAGCCAGGAGTAAGCCCTAAGCTCTGCTAGGTGTAGCCCAGAAAAAAAAAACAAAGACCACTACAACAAAAAACGTGACTTAAAAAGGTGAATTTGGGGGGCCAGAGCAATAGTACAGCAGGTAGGGCTCTTGCCTTCCACATGGTCAACCTGGGTTCAATCCCCAGTACCCCATATAGTCCCCTGAGCACCACCAGGAGTAATTTTTGAGTGCAGAGTCAGGACTAACCCCTAAGCAGCACTGGGTGTGGTCTAGAAACAACCATGCACACCCTCCCTCCCCCCCGCCCCCCGGCAAATAAGATGAATTTTTCAGGAATATTCTCTATTGTCTGCATCACCATCTGCCATGTGTGCTTTCTCTCGCTTGCTTTCTCTTTCACACTCACTCTCTCATATTTTTCAAATAAAACTATTTTACTTCAGAAAAAAACGGTGAATTTCAGGGTCAGAGTGATAGCTCAATAAACTGAGTATATGCTTAGCTTGTACCTGACCTGGACTCAATCCCCAGGACCAAATGGAGCCTTCACCCCTACCCCAACATCCCCTATCCTCACGGCATCCCCCATTACAGGGTCCTTGCGCTGCAGCAGCCTCAGACCCTTGCATGGAACTGCCATCCTGGTTGGCAGAGCATCAACAAGAGGGCCCCCAAGTCTCCTGAGCACTGCTTGGGAGATGCCCTGTAGAGAAGATGAATTCCTCTAAAAACAAGCAACAACAACAACGACAAAAAAAAAATCCTAAGTGAAACCAAATTTTTCATGTTTAGGTACAATTAAAGTTAAGTTACAGCTGCAGCTTAGAAACAAGCATCCTGGGCCTGGAAGACTGCTCCAAGGGTTAGTGCACATGGTTTGCATGTGGGACGCCTGACTCCATCCCCCGTACTGCATGGTCCCCCCAAGCATGTCTGGAAGCAGCCTCCCCTCTCTTGAGCGCTAAAATCCAAAAATAAATTAACAAAAATAAGCAAGGGTTCTTATTTTAGCTACAGTATAGCCACATTACCAACACCAGAGATATATCTGTGATGGGAATATGAATTTCATAAACGCAAACTGCTATATTAGCACAGTTCGGCAGTGAAGTCCTTCCTAAGTCTCTCTACAAATAATCAATCAGCTCCCTGGTCCAAAGCTATGACACATGGACAGGGCTCCGATGGCTGCTGCCTGGCCCAACAACTACTGAAACAGGGGCCCCGGACTTAGAGAGCAGAGACAGAGAGGAGAGTTTTTGACCCCTGCCATGCAGCCGTGTGGATAAACCCTAGCTGCCGCGTGCTCCAAGCTCCTAATTTAGGTGCTGGCAGACCTGAGGCAGGAAGGCAGGAAACACAGCCAGGTCACAGATGGGCCAGAAAACAGGTCAGTACGATGGGGACAGCCAGAAAAACAGGGACTGGCAGCCTGCCCTGGTCCCGAGGCACGCATCCAGGATCAGGCATTTCTGTACGGGCGCGTGGGAGGAAGGCACTGCTAGGCACAGAGCTGGCGAGAGGCTGAAGGTCTCCCCCCTGCACACCCTATCCCTGACGGGAAGAGCCTGCTCTAACCACAGGACTACCTGGCCACAGATGCTCGAGAAGGAGCGGTGCCAGCCCTTGGAAAGGAAACGCTTAGTTGAAAATTCCAGGGCTGGGAGAGATGCCTCCAGATGCTGTGCCAGGCTGAGCCTCATTTCCGGGGCAACTTGGAGGGGGGCGGGTGAGCACTGCCCCAGCCCCAGCAGAGCCCCAGCAGCCAAAAACCTCTAGAACCCAATCACTGCCATGCTCACGGCTGATCTCCACAGGCTCGGGGCGAGCCTCATCCAGGAGGATGAATCTGCAGAAAACCTCAGGTATGAGCTTTTGTGAACGAAATTCCAGGCTCTCATGGAGTTGGGAATGGGTGACCTCCCCCCACTTCCCTATTCTTCCAGGAACCTGGCAGTCATGCCCAAGAACTGCCTCTGGCACCATATAAGCTCATTAATGATCATGATCCAGAGACTCACAAATAAATCTCAGAAGAGAGCAACAAGCTGCAGAGATGCCTCCGGACCCCAAATTTATCTCCAGTTGTATCACCCTATTTAAAATTTTAGAAATGGGGCTGGAGTGATAGCATAGCAGGTAGGGCATTTGCCTTGCAAGTGGTCGACCAGGGTTATATTCCCAAGATCCCATATGATCCCCCGAGCACCTCCAGGAGTAATTCCTGAGTGCAGAGCCAGAAATAAGCCCTGTGCATCACCGGGTGTGACCCAAAAAGCAAAATAATAATATTTTAGAAGTCCTGGGTGGGGGCTGGAGAGATAGCACAGTGGGTAGGGCGTTTGCCTTGCACGCAGCCGACCTGGGTTCGATTCCCAGCATCCCATATGGTCCCCTGAGCACAGCCAGGAGTAACTCCTGAGTGCAGAACCAGGAGTAACCCCTGTGCATCGCCAGGTGTGACCCAAAAAGAGAAAAAAAAAAGAAGTCCTGGGTGTGCGACCGCAAATGCGGCTTTTGTAGTAATTTTATACTCTGCTCCACTGATGTACCAAGAAGAGTACACCATATTTGATGGTGTATAAGGTAGAAGGCAACTGATCTTGATCAAAAAATAACTAAATAAATATTAGCACACAAGGCTCAACCTGTAATAACATGTTAGTAATCTCTTATACAAGGGCTTAATGGCACCAGGGTGAGATACAATAATCTTCACCAACTTTCCTCTAAGGAAACTTTTTTTGGGTCATTTTTAATGGATTATTTATAATAAGCAACACTAAATTATTTAGGAAAAATTTGAAATAATAGAGGTGGGAAGGTGTAATGGTGGTGGGATTGGTGTTGGAATACTGAATGTAATAAATTATTGTGAACAACTTTTAAAGAAAAAAGAAAATGTCAGGGGTGGAGAAACAGCACAATGGGCAGGGCACTGGTCTTGCACCCCCAGAATCTCATATGGCCTCCCAAGCCCCACCAGGAGTAATCCCTGAGTGCAGAGCCAGGAGTAAGCCCATAGGTAGGGCCCCTCCCCTGACCCCCAAGAAAAAGAAAAGAAAATTTTATTACTGACAGGAGGAAAATGGCTCAAGGGCTGGAGCACACGTTTTGCCTGCAGGGAGCCCAGGTCTGATCCCCAGCGCCTCATGGCCACCCAAGCACAGAGCCAGAACAGCCTTCAAGCAGCTAGGGGTGTGGCCCCCAAAATCCTCCCAGACAGAAGAAGAGCTGAGGTTTCATGCTGGAAGCCCAGGGACATTCTCTGAGCACCGGGCTGCGGGTTGGAAGGTCAGTGCCCTCACCCAGCTACCTATGGCCACTGCCCAAACCAAACCCCGGAGGCTGCAGCTTTGCTTCCTCTGCTCCCCTGCAGCCAGGAACTTTACCCCACAGCCACCTGCTTCCTTATGTGACAGGGGCGCTCTGTGCTCTTGTATCGAGACAACCCCCAGATTAGAACTGATACTGACTCCAGTATTCTTCAGACAGATACAGGAGTTAGACAGGAAAATAGCCATCACCTCAATTAAGAGAGTTCATCTCTCAAATTTGGCTACAGAAATACCTAACAGTGGGACTCAGGCTAAGGAGACGCCCCCCTCATCATCATCCCCAATACCTTGGAAAGCTTTAGTCTCCTCTTTCATTCGATTCTCTGAAATAAAAAACTCATCTGTATTCAGCCCCCCAAATAAGTAACAATTTATAAAAAAGGGAGGGACAGAGAGATGATACAGAAGATAAAGTGCTTGTCTTATACATGGCCACCCAGGTTCGACCTCCCACCATCCCATATGGTCCCCCAAGTACCATTAGGAGTGATCTCTGAGCATACAGCCAAGAGTAAACCCTGAGTGCTGCCAGGAACCCTGATCCCCCCCCCCAAGAAAGAAAAATAAAGGAAATGAAGTAAAAAACACTAAAAGAAACACAAAAAAGTTATGTTGTGTTCCTTGTGTATTAACAATAACAACAATCTAATTCAGAAGAGAAATACTCTTAGAACTCTGTCTTCAGAGGAGATGGCAACTTTTATTTTATTTTATTTTTAAATTTTTTTGCTTTTGGGGTCACACCCAGCAATGCTCAGGCTTACTCCTGGCTCTGCACTCAGGAATTACCCCTGGTGGTGCTTGGGGGACCATATGGGATGCCGGGGATTGAACACAAGTCAGCTGCATGCAAGGCAAATGCCCTACCCGCTGTACTATCGCTCCAGCCCCTGGAGAAGGCAAACTTTTAAAAACACAACTATCTATGCCTCCATTTGTGACAAGAGACCCGGAACCTTTTATAGCTCTCCACCATGAGTACGGGGGAAAAGGTACAGGCAGGTGGTGACACCCTCAACCTTCACAGTGGTTCCCTCACCTGTGAGGTTGCTGGGTGTGGATGTGTGGAGGGGGGCGCCCCAGCAGCCTGCAGGGAGCAGCTTCTAAGCCATAACAAGAGCCCCAGCTGAGAGTCTCCTGTGCCAAGCCAAGGCCCATTCCCGATTCCAGACACTAAACCACACCTGTCATCAAAGAACTGGTCTGAAAATAGGGAAGACGCATGGCCCAGGAGGGTAGGGAGGTGGCTGGCCATAGCATCAGCCCAAATGGGTCTTTACCTGGGAATCAATGACAAATATCAGTGCTCCCGTGCCCCGGAAGATCATCTCATAGTCAAAGGTCGGGTCAAAAAAGTCAATCTGTCCCGGGAAGTCCCAGATCTGAAAGTTCACAAAAGAACTGTTGGACACGTCTTCCCGGCAGATCTTGTTGGTGCTCTCCAAGAACAGGGTCTCGTTGGGCGACATCTTGTGGAAGACGACTTTCTGGATGGACGACTTGCCGCTCCTCCGCAAGCCCATGAGCAGGATTCTCGGCTTCACCTCCGTGCTGAAGGGGTCACTGAAGTCCAGGACTGCACAAATCAGAAGGCAAGAAGGAGGTGAGGGCTTGAGTCACAGCACAGCGGGTAAGGTGCCGGCCTCACACATGGTTCATCCAGGTTTGATCCCCAGATCCCTGGCTTTCCATACGGTCCCTTCAAGCACTGCCAGAAATGACCCCTGAGCATGGAGAAAGCCCTGAATACCGCTAGGTGTGGTCTAAAAACAAACACCCTCCCCCCTAACCCCCAAGGATAGCTGTAGGAGCCAAGGCAATAGTACAGCTGGCAGGTGCTTGCTTGCCTTGCATCCTCAGCACCCTGTATGGTCCCCAGAGCACTTCCACGAATGATTCCTAAGAGCAGAACAAGAAGGAAGTCCTGAGCACTGCCAGGTGTGACCCCCAGAACCAAATAAAGAATGAGGGTGAGATGCGTTGGCGATGATGGTTTGTGACAAGAGTTTCACTTCCACCTTTGATATGACTGAAGACTCCGAAACCCAGGCGACTTTTCCAAGGACAAAGAGTGAAATTCTCCCAGCCCACGTCCCAAAGGGGCCAGTTCTGAGTGCCTCAAATGGGCACTGAAAAGGGCTGTTTCATTACATCTAATACCATCCCAGAGGCCAGAACCCCTGTACAATTTGACCCACATCACAAGCAAAGGCTTTGGAGCTGGGAGTCGGAAGTCAAGACGTTTCTTGGAGCTGACTGTTGGGTAGGTTGGCCTTCCTGAGCCAGGTCCTCTCCCTACACTGTCAGGATTCCTATGCACTAAAGGCACACAGCTGGGGCTGAGCACTTGCCTTTTACATATGGTCAACCTGAGTTCTATCTCCGGCATCCCATATGGTTCCCCCGAGCACTTCCTGGAGTCATTGCCAAGTGCAAAGTCAGGAGTAACCCCTGAGCATCATCAAGTGTAGCCCCCTCCCCCCACAACCCCCCACCCCCGTTCCTCACCAAACAAAAAATAAAAACACAGCTTATTTGACATTCCAAACAAACAATTCAATTTGGGATTTTACCAAAATCAAAACCTTTGTCAAAGGACCCTATCAAGAGAATAAGGACAGGGGCTGGAGCAATAGTACAGGGGGTAGGGCACTTGCTTTGCACATGGTCAACCTGGGTTCGGTTCCCAGCATCCCATATGGTCCCCCAAGCACCGTCAGGAATAATTCCTGAGTGCATGAGCCAGGAATAACCCCTGTGCATCGCTGGGTGTAACCCAAAAAGAAAAAAAAAAGAATAAGGACAAAACACTGAATGGAAGGATACAGCTGCAAAGATGACAAAAGTCTAATATCCAAAATAAATTTTTGTTTTTGTTTTGGGTCACACACGGTGATGCTCAGGGGTTACTCCTGGCCCTGCACTCCGGAATTATTCCTGGCAGGACTAGGGGACCATATGGGATGTTGGGAATCGAACCCGGGTCGGCCACGTGCAAGGCAAACGCCCTACCCGCTGTGCAATCTCTCCAGCCCCTAGGAATCAAAATTTTGAAATGCTTCTCTCCAACCACTAGGATGGCTATAATTTTAAATATTAAAAACAGAAAATAGACATGTGTCTGGATACAAATTACAGGAGAACATGAAATGGTACACTCTGAAAAACAACTTTGTCTATTCCTCAAAAGATTAACAGTAATTGGCTGGAGAGACAGTACAGCAGGTAAGGCATTTGTCTTACACACAGCCGACCCCAGTTCAATCCCCAGTGGCACATAGGACCTACTGAGCCCTGCCAGCAGTGACCCCTAAGCACAGTGCCAGGAGTAAGGCCCTAAACACTGCCAGGTGTGGCCGAATTCCACTCCCCAAAGAAAAAGATTAACAGTAAATCATTATCTGACCCAAACATTTCCACTCTTAGGAATATATTTTAAAAGTGAGAACATTAAGTCCAAGCAAAAAACTGTACATGAGGGGGCTGGAGCAATAGCACAGCGGGTAGGGCGTTTGCCTTGCACGCGGCCGACCCGGGTTCGATCCCCAGCATCCCATATGGTCCCCTGAGCACCGCCAGGAGTAATTCCTGAGTGCAGAGCCAGGAATAACACCTGTGCATTGCCGGGTGTGACCCAAAAAAAAGGAAAAAAAAAACCTGTACATGAAAATTCACAGCAGCATTATTCATTACTGGACCCAAATGAAAAGCGATTTGATTCAACTTATAAGGATAACTGTAGAATATCCATAGATGGAATAATACTCAGCCATGAAGAGAGAATGAGTGCTGAATTTTGCCACAACAGAGACAAACGATGAAAACACACTGCTACATACAAGAAGACAGATATGAAGGTCACAAAATATTTTATTCTATTTGCATGAAATGTCCAAATTAGGCACAACTCATTGAGACAGAAAGTACTTTGTGGTCAACAGGGATGACAAAAGGGGAAGTGACTGTTAATAAGTATGTGGTTTCTTTGGCATGATAAAAATGTTCTGAATTAAAACAACAACCCTTCGTGAATATACCAGAGCCACTGACCTGCATTATTTAAAAGGGCAAATATTATGGTATGTAAACTGCAGCACAATTTCTATTAAAAAAAAAAGGCTTCCTGGGTGACCAAAAATAAACAAAACCAGAAGACCCATTGAGAAATGGAAAAATAATCAAGGAAAGAAAGCAACATTTTAAGAAAAAAAGGGAGGGCACTGAAAAACAGAAATATAGACATATGGGTCAGAAAGAGCAAACTTGGGCCAAACAAAGAGCAAAATATGGGCCAGAAAGCCAAATTGCTTTCCTGGCCCTTCATGGCCCTCAGCACTGCTGGGAGCTACCCCCAAGCACTGGTCCCTGAGTAGACCCCCACGCTTGGCAAGAATGGCCCCATGCAAACAAAATTAATAACAGAAATATGTATACATCATTCTTCTGAGTTTCTTGTTTCTTTCTGAATTATGCATTTCTCAGTCCCCAGTCCCAGTTTAAGCCCTGACTACTTGAAATTAGAAAGTAAACTTTTACTTCCGATTCATTTTTATGTTTTGATTTGGGGGCCACACCCCGCAGCGCTCAGGAGTTACTCCTGGTAGTGCTCCTAGACCATATGGGGTACTGGAGCAAGAGCCGTACCTGCTGTACTATCTCTCTGGGCCTGTGTTTTTTTGTAATTAGCCATTCTTTTCCAAAACCTTACAATTATATGAAGCACATTCCAGAACTGAATAAATGTCATTTGAGAGAGTCATATACATATATATATGCGTGTGTATACACACATACCAAAACATACACACACCAAAATGCTATCGTACCATGATGTTTCATCAGCAATAAACATATTTCAGGTAGAACATCAAAGAAAAAATAAATAAGCAGGTGCTGGTGTATGCAGATGCTACTCCACTATAAACAACACTTCACTCCCACTCACTTCCACCCACTTTTCCTGTTCAATTTAGTGTATTCCAACAAACCGCTAGTGGCATACAAGAGGTACGGATGTGAAAACAAACTACTCGAAAGGTCACCAGTGTCTTCTTCATCGGAGATTATATGCTTCCCACAACCAGTCCTGCCATTACAAGAAAATCTTAACAAAAGCAAGGCATAGACTAGAAAAGAAACATTCACTTCAAACACATTAGACACACAGCACATCACAGTCTTCCCCTCCCATGCTGAATCCCACAACATAATAGGAGACCAGCCCCGAGTTCAATTTCTGACATCCCATATGGTCCCTTGAGAACCAACAGGCGTAATTTCTGAGTGTGGAGCCAGGAGTAATCTCTGAGTATTGCCAGGTGTGACCCGAAAAGCACCCTCCAAAAATAAAAAAAAGGAATGACCAGATATGAATCTTGGGGACACAACATGCTGCACATGTTTAAGGCGCCGGATTCGATTCCCACTACCACATATACCCTGAGCACTTATGGGTGAGTCCCTGGAGCCTTGGAGTTGGGTCCAGGCATCACCAGAAGTGACCCCCCCCACGATAATAAAAATCAATTTAAAGTAGAGTATAACCCATAAGCAAACAGATAAGAACATATTCATAGCTGAATGTTAGCAGAGTTTAAAACAAACAAAAAAACAAAACAAGAATGTTCAAGTTGACAATCAAGAAATCTCTATGGTGGTGGGATTGGTATTGGGATGTTGAATGTCTGTAACAAATCATCGTGAACAACTTTGTAAATCACAAAGCATTTATATAAAGTGTCACTGTCACTGTCCTCCCGTTGTTCATCGATTTGCTCAAGCGGGCCCAGTAACATTGTGAGGCTTGTTACTGTGTTTGGCATATCGAATATGTCACAGGTAGCTTGCCAGGCTTTCCCTTTTTCTAAGGGAAAAATTTAAAAAAATTTTTTTTTAAAAAAAGGAATCTCTAAGAAACACAGATCAGGCTGAAAAAGAAACCTATGACCCGTGACTGTGCCATACAGAATTCTGAGGCAGAGGGTACAAAAGGCAGGAGGTTGGGACTATGGAGACAAGACAGGAGGTAAGGCACTTGCCTTGCACACAGCTGACCCCTGTTGCAGCCCTAGTACCAGGCCAGGGGTCACTCCTGAGCACAGAGTCTGAAACAGTCCCTGAGCACTGATGGGGGGGCCCATACCACCCATAATGGGGGAAGGTCAAATGAAGAGAAATGCAGCCAGCCAGGACCGTTATTTGGCAGATTAAAATCCGCCCCAAATGGAATCCTGGCAGTTGAAAACCTCCAGAAACCAACCACCGCCATGCCCAAGGCCACTCTCCACATGCTTGGACGAGCCTCATCCAAGACAGGACGAGCCTCACCAAAGACAGGACGAGCCTCACCAAAGACAGGATGAACCTCACCCAAGAGGGGAGTGGCAGGAAAACCCAGGTATGCGGGAACCCGTAACTGAGATCTCTAAGCCCATTTGAATCCGAACTGGGCCTCCTCCCCCCAGATCCCCAGTAGCTTGGCAGTCACACCCACAAGCTGCCCTATGTGCCATATAATATCATCTACGGTCAAGACCAGAGACTATAAACTAAAGCGCCTGGAAGAGAGCAACACAG